CTTTCTTTGGCAACAAGGACCAGACAAGAAACCTAGCCACCGTATAGCATGGGACACGGTTTGCAAACCTAAGCGTGAAGGGGGTTTAGGCTTACGGCGGATGGAGGTACAAAACATGGTATTTCGGTTAAAACTAATATGGTTGCTCTTGAGTAAAGCAGGTTCTATATGGGTCGCATGGATCAGAGCAAACGTCTTCAAAGGGAGGACTTACTGGGAATGCCCACAAAACGTCGGGGCAACATGGAATTTGAAGAAGTTGCTACGGCTGAAGGAACGAGCAAGGGAGTTCACTAGGATCCAGCTTGGAGATGGAGGAGACGCATCCTTTTGGTATGACAGTTGGTTGGAGATTGGACCTCTCATTGAGTTCATCGGGATGGTCGGACCTCGCCTCCTGAGGTTACCGAAGACAGCGAGAGTTAAGGATGCAGTCCACGAGGGAAGTTGGCTAATCCGAGGAGCAAGGAACGAGCGGGTTCAACAACTACAGACCATACTCTCGAGAATGGAACCCCCAAGCCCGGACAACGGCTCTGACCAACCGCTTTGGAGAAAGAATGACGACAACTATCATCCGACATTTGTCTCAAGACTTACGTGGGACAAAATCAGAACCATTATCCGTCGCAAACCGTAGCAAATTGCGACGGATTTTGCGACTGTTTGCGACGGATAATTTTTTTCCACGTTCTGTCGTAAAATCGTCACATTCCGTCGCAATTTCCTGTGCGACGGAAATTTCCGTCGCAAATTCCGTCGCTATATGCAGGTTTTTTTGTAGTGAGAGTGGTTGTGGACGCCGGGCCGTGGATTAATCAACATCTCACGACAACCCAACGGACAACAAAGCTAATCAAGAGTCTTCTCTTGCAGCTAGTAGTATACGAGATTTGGAAGGAACGTAATGGACAGACACATAAAGACGTCGCAAACTCGCCACAACAATTGCAGTTCAAGATCGATAGGATAATGCGGAACATACTCATATCCTTGCACAAGCCGGATTCTACCGGATCAAATGACCACCTCCAACAATGGAATCGCCTTATATATTATGACTGAGATTTAAGTCTTCGTTATTTTTATTCATTTGTAATAGGAATCATTATCTCTCGGGATCTGTGGTACATGTTAAACTCATGTAAACCTTCGGGTTATTTTTTGGTAGTAATATAACAATCACATTAAACCAAAAAAAAAATGCACCAACAAATAAAATATCAGAACCATTCTTTATATAAAAAACCTATCCGTTCTCTTAGTGGAATACACACATATAATATATATATATTATAGTTTTAATATTATATAAATATTAACAGCCGAAGAGGAATATAGTATCGTATTATGAAAACAGAGAACTTAGTGGAAGACGCATTTGATAAGAAAGGCTCGATTCAATGGGAATTAAAGAAGCATATTACCAAGTGAACAATGGAACTTATTCCACGTAGCATTATTTTGGGTAATTCCTTTATAAACCAATGAATAAGCATCCACGTTTTGTTATTCATCTCCACCAATTTTTTATCGATCGGCCACATTCTTCCTTCATTACAGTTCATCAGTCAAATGTTTCAGTGTTTTCAGTCCGACAAAAATAAAGATAATGTCCGAATCGAACATGCAAAGTTATATATATATATATATATATATATATATATATATATATA